TAAAGTTGTTAAACTGGACTGCATGCAGTGGGACTGTACCATCAAATTACGTAGCTATTTGAGGTGGTACAAGTAGATATGGCAGGACTTACTTTTTGAGTGGGGAATATGCATGGAACCCAATCAAACTGAAAAATGTACAAAAAGAATAAAAACAGATTTGTACCAGCTGAAATTCAAAAGGCGATCATGGTCATCGTCACTGCCCAGCTTCACCCTCAGGGCAGCATCCATGATGAGATCATCACAATAAAACTCAAGCAGATAAGGTTATGTGAAATGCAACTTAAAGGCTTCAGAATCTATGCTGAAATCTGCCAAAAGTCGCTCGTCTTCCTTAGTATTTCCCAGTGTCTGCTGAACTGCTCACCTCTTGTGCTTCTTGTGAACCCATAGAGCACAGACAGCAGAATTATTTTTATTTTCTAAAGTGTTCCTTTTGAAAACATTTGGTGAAATCTTTCAAAACTCTATACCCAATTGTGTTTTTATGGCCAGTGTATATTTGTTAGTAAAACTAACAAAACTGTCTTTATATGTAAACTGCAGAAATCTCTAACAAACTATTTTTAAAACGGTTGATTTTGTTAGCGTTTTAGACTCAGTGTGTTTCCATTTACAGCGATTATAGTTAATTTTCTGTCATTTCTTTTTTGTTTACTTTCATTAACCAAAAACTTGAAAAGTCAAGCCACTCAAGACTGTGATTTGAATTTTCCCAAAGCATTTTCAGGCTTCAGCAGAGGCACTTTTTGTGTATAGTCACCATGGTTACAGGTGTTGTTCTCGTCTATCAAAAGTTTGTGGAAAAAGGCACAGTTAAAGTCCCACTGGTCTATTGTAATTCAATTGATAGACTACTGAGCATGTAAAGACGTGAAAAAATCTGCTCTTCTAAAAGGTGGGCAAACATCTAATGTAATCTGGTACTGAAAATTTAGTTGTTTAAAGGTGGCCTATGCAGATTTCTTATAAACAAAACTAACTGATAAAGTAGATTAGGGGCTATCAGATTAAATACCTTACTTAAATCTATACTTTCAATTTACATTGGAGGGGATGTGGTTCATGACTGTGAAAACTTAGAAAGTTGACTAATCTCACCAGTGAAACTTTCCAATAAAATCTTGTATTTTTTTTTAGGAAATGAGATTGGAGTCTGTTAAGTTATACTAATAATTAATAATAATAATAATAATAATAATAAAGTAAATAATAATATTTATTTAGACTTCATTGATCTCACAATGGAGAAATTATCCTCTGCATTTAAGCCATCCCCTAGGAAGCAGTGTGCTGCCATTTCACAGCACCCGAGGAGCATTCAGAGCCTAAAGGACCCAGAGTGGCAAGCTGTGGGATTCAAACCAGGGTACTTGTGGATTCTCCAGGACGCAAATGCCCTGCTTTCTAACCACTAGGCCACCACTCCCCATGAACAATGTCAGTAGAGTATTCATTTAAAAAAATGCCACATTTCTTCATGCCAATACAGCAATCAAAGCCTTCTTGTAAATGCTGACCAGCCTTTGCATGTTTCCACTGGTATGTTGATGGTTTATTTTTGTGATGAGCTCCAAGTCTTTGAGGATGGAATGTCTCTATGCCATCACCCTAATCTTTTTCTCCCTCCACAGATTATTTATCAAATTCAAGTCGGGACTCTGGATGATTCGCTCTAGAACATTTGTATTACTTCCAGGCAGAAGAAAGATGTTGATAAAATCAAAGGAATACTTGAAATCTGTATGATTAATTTTGGGTTTAACTGTATGTTTGAGAGAAAACTGATCAAAATACATGAAATAAAAGTTGAGTGCATAATAAGTAGATACTAGTGACCAATTTTGCAAGGGTTGCTGATCAAGTGATTATGTGTAACATTTCTCTCAGGGGTCACCAAATCCTGAATTCTGGTCCAAATCCGGACTCAGAGTGCGTTTTGTCCGGACCACAAAGCATTTTCTTATTTTATTGCTGCCGACTGCCAAGTCAGACTTTTGAACAGGCGTGACGGACAGCTATGTGGGTTAGCGACATTTTGGTCCACACTCCAAGCCAGCTGGTGGCGGTAATCAACCACATCGTTGTATGACAACTGCCAGAAAATGACAAAGAACAAGCTATGAGAGGTCCTTGAACATGGGTTGCTAATGCCCCTTTTCCACTAGCTCGTTTTAGGTGGCACGGCTATGCTCCCCTTGGTTTCGCTCTAATCAGTATGGTACCTGTTTTCACTGACCCATCAGTGTAGTGCCCTGTGGCGCTATTAACATTACTGTTAATAACTATTAAGTTACTAGTTTGGGAGCTCATGCTTGCTGACAGTACAATGTCTTGGCGGTGCACAGATGAATGAGTAAAAGAAGATGGCTTTGTCAAAAATACGTAAAGTGGACCATGAAAATCGCACATTTAAAGATGAATGGACAGAAGCATACACTTTCCTTTTAACTTCCTTAGGGTGTAAGGCCAGTCTGCCTTATATGTTCTGAATAAGTTGGACTTATAAAGAGTGGAAATCTAAAGAGACATTATTAAACCAAACAAAAGAACTTCCAAAGCTATCCACCTGGGTGAGCGAGCTACACAGCTGATAACACAGTCTCTTACAGCACAACAGTGAGCATACAAGTGTTCACTACAAGTACTGTGGATTTTAAGAAAACACAAAAAGCTTTTCACTGACTAGGAAGTGATCAGAGAGTGCATGGAAGCTGTGGCAGAAACACCTTTAGATAGAAAAGAAAGACAATAACTTAAAAATGGCTAAACAAATTGCCTTGTCTGCCACAAGCACAAGGAGAGCAGAACTTTTATACCAAGATCCACAGACCCAGCTCGACTGTGCCATTCAACGTGCGTTTAATATTCATACTTATATTGGATTGCTCTTTTCTGTTTAGCAGATGATTTCATGGACATATGAATAATTGATCAGTAGAAAAAAAATAGTGTTAATTAAATGTTAAATAAAAATTAAAGAAAATATATTAGTCAGTTGATTAAAAATGTTCTCCTGCTATTTTAGTTGGGGACCCCTGATTTATTTGCCATCAAAAGGCATGTGTTAGGTGCTTCTCTGCATTATAACTTTAGAAACAAATCTTTTTGCAACTTATTTGCTTTTTTCTTTTTTTTAAACTAAAATGCTCACACAGAACATTTCTGAAAGTTTAAATGTTATATCTTATGCTACTTTACTATTTTTTAGTTCAGTATTGTGTATTTGTTTAGCGCCCTTTCAGAGCAAAACCATCTGCCATGAGTATGTGGAGATAAAAAAAATGTCCAAATTTAAAGTTAAATGAACAAAGATTTAACTAACTGTGTCAAAATGTAGTTTTGCGCAGATGACAGAATTAGTGAATTAATAGAATTGTTGAACAATAGGTGGTGAAAATTATAAAATAGCTCTAAATGTCTTGGTCAGGACCCCACTGTGGGTCATGGAGCAACAACATAGGGGTCATGAAAGTTCTTGAAATCAACTTAAATATGTAAATGATTGCCAATTGCATATTTTAACAATAATATGTAAAAGACATAAAAATGGATGGAATCATCAATTGATCCAGTTTTTCCTTCAAACCCCTTTTAATTAGCTTATTAGCTCAACTGCTTAAGAATCACTGCTATAAAAGATGTAAATGGTTTAAATACTACAGCCTTGCAAAAGTATTGACACCCCTAGAACATTTCATTCCATTTTTGATTGATAGACTGAAGAGTGCTCCTTTAGATAGATTTTTTTATTTTTTTTGTTTTATAACCCTGCTTTAAACTGCTCCACCAGGTTATTCCTTACAAGGTCTTTATATTGCTGTTTCTTCTCTAAGAAGCCTCGAGGCCCTCACAGAACATGACCCACATGTAACCTGGTGGGTTAGTTCGGAGATAGGTGGGAGAGAGCAGTTCAGGACATCGCCTGTTGAAGACTTGTTAGAGGTGGGACATAAGATGAATTGGGAAACATGTAGATTTCTGCTGTCACCTGAGAGGATGATGCGATATACCCTGTCATGAAGCACTAACACCATGTGACATCTGCTTAGACGTTGCTTTTGGCCATCTTTCCTCTTTTCTCTAAGCCCACCCCCTCACCCACCCACAGAAAGTAGTATTAGTCTTCACAGAAGGCCGCAAACTTCTCACTCAGGCTAAGCCTAAGGTCTACCTTCTGTGTAACAATATTAAGCGGGCATGTGTGAGTGTGACATGATGCAGGTGTTTTTGTTCAATTTCTGGATAACAGTCTATATTTTCAAATATAAAACGCATAAAAAAGGAACAACAAAAACGTTAAAGAGAAATAGGTTCAGAAAGTAAGCACAGCTGCCTGGGTACCATTACTGGCACAAAACTTGGATGATTATTTAAATGTTTTATTTTACATAAAAAATGTGAGGTTTGGCCCCTTTTCAACATAATCTTTTTTTAAATACAGTACCTACTTAATGTTCTTTTTGAAGATAACAGGACAGATTGTTTTACCTGCAGGTACACAATTTATCTGTATAACATAGGGATGTGTAAATTCACTATCTTGCTCAAAACGCAATTAAAATATTTTTTTTGTCAAAACTTACCACAGTTTTACACGTGTAAATTGATTTGTTTCTGTTCATTTCTCTTCATACATTGGTGAAAAACTAAATCAGTGGAAGGAAACCTTTAAGTGATTTATTGATTGAGGCAATACTGAACTGTTGGTGCGGCAAGTTAAACCAAATAAATTTGGATCGTCACAGTTTATTCATGTTTTAGCAAGAGAGGGCATTACTGATTTAATTGGGTCCAGATCAGTTTGGAAAGTTTTTTCCTCTCCCATTGACAACTACATTTGGTATTTACTTTAGTTACCTTTGGCACAAAAATTTGTTTGATTTGATGATCTGAAACATTTAAATTTTGACAAAAACACTGACACTAGTGGTCTTTATTGTACAGTAAACAGACAGAAAAGAGGGTGGAGAGGGAAGGGAAAGACATGCAGCTAATGGCCTGAGACCAGGAATCGAACCCAGGACAATCGCTTCCAGGACTATAGTCTTTGCACATAATGGGCATGCTCTACCAACTGAGCCACCAGCAACCACAATATTTCATTTTTCGTAAATAAACAAGTAAATAAGTAAATAAACTACAAGTCTAAAATTAACTTGGGATTAAAAAGTGGATAAAAAGAAAATGCTGGGTGTGCTTTTTTTCCCTTTTTTTTCCCTTCCTGCCCTATGCATTATCAGAACAGAGGTTTTTCAGAGAGGATTTGTTGTAAAACAGGGTCTCACTGTTATTTGACAAAGACAACATGATTATGGAGTTGAAAATTTTAATTCTCTATAACATGTTATATATATTATATTTAATTACTGTAATATGTGGCCACATTTTCCATGACAGACAAAGGTTGAAAGCTCAAAGGAATAAAACAGTGCACTTTTGCTGTAATATGTTCACCCTTCCTGTTATTTGCGAAACGCCTTGCTCTCTCTCACTTTCTCGCAGCCTGAATCAAATAGATACATGTCTCAACATGCCTCTGTACAAAATACAGTTTCCTTTTAAATACCTTTGAACATCTCTGTGCCTGAATTTATCTGTCTCTGAGTCTTCCTCACTTGGCAACAGTGAAGTCTAGGGCTGCTGTCAGCATAACCTGGTAGCATATGGTGTGTTCACTGGTTGGGAAAACATCAGCTTTTTTTAGTTTCTCACCGGCCAGCCACTGATCTGGTCTGATCAAGCTGAAAACCTGCCGAAAATCAACTTATAGACATCAATGGAACAGTAAAAGCAAACCATCTTGGTTAGAACAAGGGGGAAATGAAGTCTTTTTCTTTCTTGCAACTCAGTCATGTTAAGAAACAAAAAAAAAAGCATTTTAGCAAAATACTGGAATTTTTTGCTAAAGAAAATGAGACCAAGTGACTGTAACTGGGAACCTTCTAAAATCCCTTTTAGTCTACATCTAAATATATCGTAACAGTTTAGCAGTCATAATAAAGGCTGAGAAATTCCCTAAGAGCTAAATTAAGCTTAGATGTGTAGCTACAGTTTAACTGTCATTTTGAAATAAGGCCAGTAGGATTTCTTTTTTTATTGTTCAGCCCAGGTCTACTCTAAAGGAATTTTTAACAAATGCAAATGTGTTTGAATTTATTTTTAACCAAACTACAAGGCCCGGAGCAATGAATGACAGGCTAATTTGTGGACTAGAAAAGAGGGAAAGCTCGCCCTGTCTATTCAGCTTCGAGCCACCGGCCTCCTCATTAGAGCTGACTCTGCTAACCGGCTGCCGAAGCGTGGTAGGTAATGACAGCTTGGCTCAAGAGGCAGCCTTCCATCTTTCTTTCTAATGCTTTCTCTAAACTAACAATTTAATTTTTCTGTTAACTGTTTCATCCTGCACCACTTCACCCACAAACAGTTATTCAACATCTTCCATCTTATCTTCAGACTTTCTCTTCCTTTACTTCCCTAGGAGTACTTCTCTTTACTTTTAAAGAGGGACACTAAGCTCCCAAACTCCAAATTGACATCTCACAGTCTCCCTCATTCTCAATCCTGTCAATTTACTGGCTTTAGCAGAATTCATTCTTTCCTCTCATCGCCATCTTTCACTAGACCTAAAATCTCTCTTCTGTAAAGTCTAACTCTGACAAACAAACATATGAATGGAAGATCACTGGAAGGGAACACCTTAAGAAAGTAAATGGATGGCCGACTACCTGATTGACAGAAGGTACATCAAGCGATGAGTAAGTTGACTATGTGGAGCTGCTGTAATTTAAAAATGGGCTGGATAGGTAAGAAAGGTGTCAATGTTACACACTAAATTCCACATCAGCACCTCTGGAGAACATCTCTGATTGTATCTATTAAAAAGTATAGACTGGGGCTTTTGTCATTAATGCATCATCAGTAGAACACAGAATTAAAACTTGGTTGCAATTTTTTTGAGGGTTGGGATGTTGCTTTACCAGGAGGAAACTGGCAAAAAGACAGAGTACACCCTAAACTGGTTACCAAGACATTGCTTTGCCATGTTAACTTGAGCAAAACTTTAAGGGTAATTTAGAAGTAATTTCCAATGCACATACAGTGGCATGAAAAAGTATTTGTCAAAGAAAAAAAAACTTAAACTTAACTTAAAATATTGGAAAGTGCGTAATTAACATTTGATAATAAAGAAAAAGCTTAGTAAACTGCTCTGAAAATAAGTTTAAAACACCTCAAAGATGTTAATAATGTATGTATAAATTTTATAAAGCAAAGGGAACTAATTGTGCCACCATCTGTTTGCTACTTGTTTTGTTTTTGGGCACTCAAAGTTGTTACTTTACGCCCCTCAACATATTGGCTGCTTATGTGATGCTGTAAAAAAATAAAAAACATGCACCAGACAGTGCCAAACATTAGGATCATATGAACTAACTGGGAGCTGGAAGATGCCTTTGTCTCAGCATGAGACTGCAGAGTAGGAATTTGCTGACAGTACAATTATTTGTGCACGCATGTTTTTAATTTCATCACAACACACAACAGTGGAGAAGACACCCCATTTAGCATCACTGTCACATGGCGTTTTACAGATAGACAAACACTGAAAAAGACAGACTGAAGGTGTGTGTGTGAGACAGAGAGGGAGAGCGAGAAAGCGACAGAGTCATGAGAGGGGACGATGGGTTTCCTAACATAAATAAATCATCAATGTGTTTCATTGCCTTGGCAGAGTTCACAAGTGGAAGATGAATTGAGGAAGGCAGTAGGAGGAGGTGAAGGAGAATAAAACAGATTGTGTAGAGAGAAGAGCTGTTGGCTGGGGTGAACAAAAGGCAGGTGGGAATCCTGATGTATGCTTTATGGCTCAAGTGGTAAAGAAATGAAAACACAAGAGCAGCTGCTCCCAAGATGAAGCAACAACTGCCATGAATAACCAGACACTTCAGCTGTAAAGAAAAAGCTCCTGCAAATCATTATACTCGATATTATAATGTTTAGTGTACACTGCTGTCTGTGAAATAGATGTCTTGACTATTTCTATGAATTTGTAAAGTGTAACAAAATGGTTTCTCTCCGGGTAACCGCGTTTTAAAGGATGCCTTTTCTTTTTCTTTGCAGACGAGCTACATACATATGTATTGTACCGTTGCGTTCACCATGACAGCAGTCCTACATCAATAACCAGATCAACCACTGCTTTTGGAAATTATAAACAACATGGCAAATCATGTGTAGAAAAATAGAAACTACACTACTGCTACTGATTATGTGTAAGTAATCTATTAACTGAAAGGAGCATATGGTTCATTCAGATTATTATTTCTGAGAAAAAAACAGGCATCAAAACAGATGGCCTTTATTTCAGGGGGACATATCACGCTTTTAAATCCTTCTTTTTCACACGTACATCATTCAGTTGAGGTCTATATAAAGTGGAACTGCAGTGCTTTGGTCTGAATTTCTAGTTATTTTAGCTCCACAGACGCCTCTTTTACCCCTGTTCTGAGATGCGTCTGAGAGCAACTCGTTTTGGTGCCGTCTCTCTAAATGCTGTTGAGGTACTACACACCCCGGCCCCCTTTAGGTCAAAGAGTGTTCCACTTTAACCGGTTCGGCCATTTTTGTAGTTTGATAACAGAGATATTTCTACCGGCGAAGAAACAAGAACAAAAATGGCAAAAACAATGCAAATCTGTTCAGGTAATGATACTATTCAAACCACGCAGAACGGTTATGTCCTCAAGGAGCTAAAAGCAGCACACAGCACTAACATAAGCAGAAGGCAAGATGCTACTATTAAAACAATGTCCAGGATATCATATTAACACAAAATAAATTCATGTCTAAAATAAAGTTTGTTGTCATTTTAGCATTATTTGCAGCTTACCGCTTTACTGTGTCCGTCGTTTCCATAGACAGAAGGAACTGACTTAAGGAACCTTAATCAGATGAAGTCTTTCATCAAATCCTTCTTGATACTGGCGGAGGTTGTTGAAGGTTCTCGTCTTTAAAGTGCCTTTCGCAGACGAAGAGGAATTTCACCACTGATGTGGGAACATTTCCATGAAAAATTAAATTTAACCAGGCACTTCAATGTGGTTCTGATGCTGGGGGTCGATGTAATGAATTGTGTGGGTTAAGAAACCCAACAATTGGCCTACAGTGTCCTGTGAGGACTATAACTATTAAAAAATGCATGTGTGATGCCAAGACAGCGGCAAGAAGGTCGTGCAAGATTCTATTCTGGGGAGAGAATATCCCAAAGAAAACATCGACCTGGCCTGAAAAGAAATAAAGCCACATTTCCAGAACTAATGTAAGCAAGATTGTTCATTTCTGTCCAGGGACAGTAGACAGTTTATTTGCCCATCTTATTTATTTAACTCAATTAACTCCGTTATAAATCCTCCAACCTTTGCTGTCCTTGATGCATCAGTCACTGTGTCACAATTTTCTTAAATTTTTTACTGAAAAAGCAATCTATAAGACTGGTTTCTTGCACACCTAATATTATAGACATACCTGTCACAAATGACAATTCCACAACTGTACAGCAGCACGAAAGACGACATACTTAAGGAGATCGAAGACATCCCAGTTTACTCTGTCACTATGTATATGTGGTCAAGTTCAAATATGGCCCCTTATATGAGCTTGAGCATACACAACAAACTGCTGGCTGGACCCTGCACTCCAAGTGTTTAGAGGCCAGATATATCCCAGATAGCCATACTGCTGACTCCCTTGAAGAAAACCTGAAGTCTGCTTTAGGAGACTGAATGAGCACAAACTAGTATGCATAACTGCAGACAATGGTGATAACACTGTTGCTGCAATAAGAAATCTTGGCTGGCCATGGCTCAATTGCTTTGGCCAAAACCTCAATTTTGCTGTGTCCCATGGTTCAGACGGCAACACATATTGGACAGTGCATGCCAGAGGACTCTGTAAATGTTTGGTCAACACATTCAACCTCAGCTTGTTTAAAAAGAGACACCTGGGGAAGGCGAAGAGTTAGGCTAATCTCCTCCAACACAATCTAACACTTTTGAGTGATGTTTAATTGATTCATAGTTTTATTTGCAACACAA